CGCATCTGCGGGATGTAGTATACATCCGTTAGTGCGCGGTGCTCCCCGTTCTAGCTTCTGAAGATGATGGTGCGGCGCCCTTGGATAGCCACCCTTGAGCCATCACCAAACTTCACCGTACCGGTAACATCGCCGTCGAGCTCGGAGAAGGATTCCTTGGAGGCCGTCATGTGGTTGCTGGCACCAGAGTCCAGATACAACCGCTGCTCCTGGTCGGCGTCCACACGTCCGAGGTGAACTTGGGCGCGTGGTTCGTCGAGGTTGACGGTCTTCAGGGCCTTCCTAGGTCCTTCCACTGTCGTCGCCTCTTCCCTCTCCTCGGCATCGACGTCGTGCAGTGTACAGAACGTCGCCATCAGGATAGTGACCTCATCCTCATCATTGGCTTGCGGCAGGTGAGCCTGAGCCTTCTTTTCCTGCTTACGATTTGGGCACTCCCGTGCCCAATGGCCCATCTTCCCGCAACACCGATTGGCATTGGGGCCGACTTGCTTCTTCTCCGAAGAAGCCCTGCCACGGTGCTTGCCCTTGCCACCGCGATTGGAGGAGGCTGCCTTCCCGGAGTTCCTCCGAGCAGCCTACTCCTCTTCCGTCAGCAGGAGTTTCCCGCTGTCCTTCGTTGTTGTCGTCTGCTCCAGGCGCTCGTCCATCGCCCGCAGATGGCCTGTCACATCCTCAATGGTGATGGTGGACAAGTCCAGCATCGTCTCTATGGAGAGAGCGATCTGGATGTACTTTATCAGCACGGAGTGGAGGTACTTGGAGACCGCCTCCTCTTCGTCGATGGTGACGCCGTGGCTCTTCAACTTGCTGATGAGCGTCTGCAGGCGGAGGGAGAAGTCCTCCACCGTTCCACCATCCTTGAACTTGATGATGGCGTACTCCTGCTTCAGAAGCTGGGCCGTCGCCTTCTTTGCACGGGCGAAACCGACGCGAATCGCGCAATAGCCACCCACGCCTCCTTAGCCGAGCTCTTCGTCCCCAACGGCTCCCTGTACTCCGTCGGTACAGCAGCGAGGATAGCCTCCAACGCTGACATGTCATCTCCCTCATTGTCGGTGCCCTTGTCAACAGTATTCCAGAGCCGTCGGGTTCTGAGCTTGACCTTCATAGTCACCGACCACTCTCCATAGTTGGTGCGAGTTAGCGTCGGCTAACTGGTCCCGCTGACCTCCCGCACCGTGCGAACAACGACCTCTGATCGTGGCTGGGCAGCCATAGCAGTGCCACTGCTGTCGCCCATCTCCAAACCGTCCGTCATCGCCAGCGGTTAGTCTGGCGACGGCGCTTGTATGGTTCCGATACCACTTATTGGCCCACAGGATCACCGGCTCAGGCGAGTGATGTACTCGCCGGTCTTGCCGAGCACCCGCTAGTGTTGCCGAGCACCCACTAGCCGTGCCGACCACGAACAAGCGTTGTCCGTCCCACGCACTATGTCTGGAGCTAGAAGAAGAAGGAAGAACAAAGCAAGCACGCACAATACAAGACAACAGCGTTGACTGAAGCCCTATCTGTGAGATAGCAAATCTGAACTCTCTTTACTGAGTTGTCGTGTATGTCTATTTATACAACTATATCTATCTAATCCTAGTACAACCCACATGCTGTAACAGTAACTAGATAACACTGAGAGGGCTGACTCTGCGCCGGCCACTGCATATTCCTACAGTACTACAGATGAGTCGTACAACGCCTGCACCTGTAGCGACTACAGTATCACAGCAGGAGACATTTTCGATGCTGTCTTCCCTTGATGTGTTCACGTAAGGTAACAGCTAACAGGGCGTGCCATCGGGACGTACTCGCCGTCCAACCTCCAACCGTACTGGAGCACGAGGTGGTGCAGTAAGAAGGCAGCCTCCACTTTGCCCAGCTCCGAGCCGGGGCAGAGCCGGAGTCTGCCGCCGAACGGCGCAAACTTCCTGCCTGACGACGTCTGGTCCAGCCCCTGCAATAATGCAAATAACGAACTCATCGCAGGGAGTACTGGGATCGATCGAATCGATCAAACAACACGGTTCATGCGTACGTACCTCCTATCTGCACGGATCAAACTCTTGGGGGTTCTTGTAGAGCGCAGGGTCAAGATGAACGGAGCCCAAAATTGGCAGCACTTTCCAGCCAGCTGGGATCACATACCCTGCCAAAACAAAGTATCCCTGTAATTCGAGTGTTATATTATTACAGGCGGGAACAAACATAGTAGGCAATGCAAGAGACAGCCTCTGATCACTGTTGCCCAAATTCAACGGTCTGCTAATCCTCAGTCCTCTCATCGATCGGCATGGCACAAAAACCGGGTGGGACTAGAAGGTTCTAACGGATCGAAACCAGATAGCATCTCCGACCGGAGACGGCGGACCCGGTAAGACGAAAGAGCTCGTGGTCGTGGCCTCGTGTATCAGAGTTGTTAGGTTGAGCCTGTGGCGTGGCTGCCCACCCACCTGAAAACTACCCACCCGCCTAGTCGAATCGCCTACCACCAGCACCAGCGGTCCAGCGCCCACAGCACTGGCAAGTAAGTGTAGGCGTACGAATATGAGCAGTTGATGTGCAGAATGGCATTCGTTTACTCAAGTCAGATGGGTGATCAGTGTTGTTTCGTCCAATGCTTTTCTTGAAATGGGTTTTTGTTCAGTGAATCGATCGTTTAAAGTTTGTATTGTTTGCTCGCTTTCTGATACAGCAACTCCTCCAATGGTAGCCCCTTCCATGGCAACTCCTATCCCTGGCATCCGCAATGCCGTCAAGCCGATTCATCATGTGATGCGGTGGAGCTTAGAGATCTTCCTCGGAAGGTATTTTCAACCACACATATATAATTAGGACTGACCTGATAATCAGTTTTGTCCATCAGCTCAGCCTTTGCTTTACTTACCTAGTCATAATCTTCCAATCCAGTACTATTTAGAGTAAATAGCATTTAAAAACTACAACAATGATGATATTAGCACCACAACGCTTTCTTTTCATCCACAACAATCAGTCCTCTCAGGTCATGTGGGAACTGCCAAGGTTTGTGAAGATAGTTGAGGTTGGACCACGGGATGGCCTGCAAAATGAAAAGGGCAATGTTCCAACATCTGTAAAGATCCAATTGATACACAAGTTAGTCGGTGCAGGTCTGTCAGTAGTCGAAGCCACAAGTTTTGTATCCCCAAAATGGGTGCCGCAGGTGATGCAGTTAGTTAGTGACTACGATAATGGCATATTCTATGTTTCACTGAAAAAGATCGTTAAGTTCTTATCTAGCTCTGTCTGGAAACTGCAGCTAGCTGATGCAAAGGAGGTCCTGAAAGGTATCCAGCAGGAGCCAGGTGTGCGGTATCCGGTGTTAACCCCTAACCTCAGAGTAAGTTCTGACATCATTTCATTTCCTCTAAGAAATGTACATATTTGCTACTACAAGATGTGATCTGTACTAATGAATTGAGTGTTTTACAGGGATTTGAGGCTGCTGTTGCAGCTGGTGCAAAAGAAATTGCGGTTTTTGCATCCGCCTCTGAATCCTTCTCTAAGTCGAACATTAACTGTACCATTGAGGAAAGCCTTGTTCGGTACCGTGATGTTACAGCAGCTGCCAAGAAACATGGACTAACTATCCGGGGGTAAGTTAATCAACTTTTAACCTCTTTAAGTCTGATAATTGACGAGTTGGGTGACTGAGGCGTTTCAGCGGTGATGTGGTCTGAATCTTGCTTCATCTGTTCATGTTAGGTATGTTTCATGTGTGATTGGTTGCCCTGTTGAAGGCGCAATCGATCCATCGAAAGTGGCATATGTAGCTAAGGAGCTTTACAACATGGGCTGCTCGGAGATTTCACTTGGCGACACAACTGGTGTTGGGACACCAGGTACTGTTCTCCCTGCCTAAGTTTACTAACAGTATGTGGAGACTGACTAAAGTAACTACTAACTGCAACATCTCTGTTTCAGGTAGCGTGGTTGCTATGCTTCAAGCTGTCATGGCGTTTGTTCCAGTAGACAAGATTGCTGTTCATTTTCATGATACATATGGGCAAGCCCTCGCCAACATCCTTGTCTCCCTTCAAGTAAGCAACGATAACTTTTTGTCTCTTCATTGGTCCACGACATTCACAGAAATCACACCTTAGCCTAACACGCACATTTCTTGTTTTGTCAGATGGGGATCAACGTAGTGGACTCATCAGTGTCAGGCCTTGGAGGCTGCCCATATGCAAAGGGCGCCACTGGCAATGTTGCCACAGAGGATGTTGTGTACATGCTCCATGGCCTGGGGATAAAGACCAACGTCGACCTCAACAAGCTCATGGAGGCTGGTGATTACATTTCCAAGGAATTGGGCAGGCCACTGGGTTCCAAGACTGCGACTGCTCTGCGCAAGCTAACTACCTGAGTCGCTGAAAACCTTTTCAAGCACTCCGAAGAGAAATGTATCAGTTTGTGTTATCACACGTTTTTTTTTTTTTACTTATATATACAGACGAGTCATATGAATGTCCCTAAAGTTTTTACTTTAGTTTGCAATTTCGTGGACATACTCTGAAAACATTTGATTCACACAGTTGTACCTGCTGTTGGATAATTCTGAATAATCTGGGTTTTCCTGGACGCAAATTGTGTTTGCAGAAACGAGTAATGAAGGTTTGGGACAGTCTACATACTTCACCAGCATGTGGGGGCCTCATTGGTTGTGCTGACGGAAAATAACATTTTCAAAAATCTGATCTTTGGTATCTTACCATTATATTGGATGGACGGCACAACTGCGAAATGCTGCAGCAACAGTTTCTTTCTGCCGGGCAATCCCGTGTTTCTTACACGCACATGTATCAGAATATCACGGTTAAGGATCTAGGCAACAAATGAGCAAACTAATCGAAGCATGTGCCTTTTCTTGCCCTGCCCTCTGACATAAAATGGAGGGAGAGCTTCGCCATATTCTGTACTATATGCATATATCGGAATGAATATACAATCACCATAAGAACTTTACATGTTCCCTGTGCTGGTTTTTAATCTGTCGTCATGGTTACTCCAGGGAGAGTTTTAAGGATGGCTAGGCATTCCTTCAGAATTGTCTTTGCTTGTTCACTTTTTTCAGACTCGCAGAGCTCTGTAAGTTCATCCTCGAACTTGGCCTCTGTTCTGTCCAACAACGGGAAGTCTCTGTACAGTTTGCTCAAATCAAGAACACATTCCGAAGCAGCAATGTGAACCTGCAAATAGGTGATAAGTCGTGACTCATGAGGAACAAGGTTTGGTCTGGACACTACCGGCTAATGGCAAACTCAGCAACAGCTTCTAAAACCACTGGTTTAAGAAACAGCCATGGGTTTGTTTTACTATTTAGTATTTACATGGATGTAACCTCAGATTGTGGACTACTTATGGCAATTCCAGACAACCTTTGCACCATTCGTGTTATCATGTATGACAGATGTAAGTATTGTGAAACAGGAACACTAGGGTTCTGTTGGCCAGCACTTATTCCAGTAATTTCACTGGTAGCAGCCATGACATCTGACCAGCGAACAGGAAAACCAAACTAACTTAGCATCCATGATTTATTACATGTCAGGGCTAATTAATTAAGATCTGCCAGCCCCCATGATTTATTATATGCCAGGGGCATTTAATTAAGAACTGAGCAGATTAAAAAAGATAGTTAAACAATGAGACAAATGCATACTTTAATATTAAAGAAATAGAGTGGACCCTAATGGTCACCTGAGTGATTTATCTGAAAACATAATCTTGCTCCTTGCATAAAGCACTTATGCAGTTTTCCAATAATTGGTTTGAAGTTACTTGTTTGACACATGACAAGTAGATTTGACAGAAAACATTGCGAAAATGCCAAAGCAGCTTCGATGAGTGAACAGGGCATTGCAACTTTTCTTATCATCATTAATGGAATCATAGACAAGTATACACACTGCTAAATCAAGGGGCATTGCTATTAAACCATGCTTAAACTGTCAAGTGCAATATTACAATGTTTACATGCTTTATTCCATAAAAAATACATGTTATAGGCACATATTTTAAATTAAAGTGAGTGTTAATTATTATCCATTAGCAGGAAGACAACGTATTATCTACAGGTAAAGGTGTTATGAGATGGTAACAAAAAATAGGCAAATATATTTCAACATCAGCTAGGGAGGACTAGACATAGAGAAAATTACCTGAGCAATCTTTACTAATCTTATGGAGTCTACTAATTTTGGTGATACCAAATGAAATAACTGAAAAAATTAAACAGAAAAGATATGTCAGAAGCAATGAAAACCAACGGCAACCTGAAGCTGAATATAGAGACAAACAAACTACAGGATATACCTCCTGAACCAAGCAAGCTGTGTCTTGAGGCCATGTGCTACTATCACCAGAACTGTGAAATTTCAGGCACAACTCTTTGATACACAAGAAGGATGATAGTTTAACTGTTCATGACAAAATAATAAGCGTTACTATGATGATTTGAAACCATAAGACAGAAGTATCCAAAAGATGTTTTGTGGCAGAACCATCTAATCTAATGCCTCACAGGAGTACTTGTCTTCCATTAGACACTAAGTATTCAAGGGAGAACACTAAATTACACAGTTTCGTCGACCACACCCATAAGGGAGAACTCAAAAATCCATATTTTCCCATCAGGATCACAAATGAGAGAATGAAGCTTACATCATTCTTAACCATTTCTTAAATTACTTTTAATACAACATCAGAGTATAATATTTATTATTATAACAGCGGAATATAATCATATTATCAGAGTTATGAACAATTTAAATTGACAGCGGAATATAAACATATGATCAAAATTACAGCGAAAATAATTATCTATTCATGACATGATAAAGCATCGATATATAAACTATGACAACAGATTATAAAACTTGTATTTATAAAAATATTTGGTGAGAGCTATAAATAAAAACTACGATCACAGCGTAAAGGAAATCATCTCTGAGCCCACCAGGAGGAATCCACACACAAGGGTCAGCTCTAGCATCCACCTGTCACCTGCAACAGGGGGAAATAAAACCCTGAGTATTCAATTGTACTCAGCAAGACTTACCCGACAGGAGAAAAGAAAAGACTCCAAGGATATGCAAGGCTATCTGGCTTGTGGGTTTATTGCATCTGCAGGAAGCATTACTAAACATGCATTCTTATATTGTATTTTTATTAGTAAGCCGCATTAGTTCATTAACTAACCATTCTATGTAAGCACATGTGCTACTTTCAAGCAGGTGGTAAGCAAACATATTTTTTTCCCATCTTTCATCTTTCAGTTCTTACTACGGTGCTAGACCGCACACAAGCCGTACCGGATCGCCCGGCGATTCATGAATCAATGCCCCCAGCTGGGTACCCCGAAAACACACGCCCCGCTTGTACCCAAGGCATAAGCAGGACCAACCCACTACCCTCCTGTCCTAGGTGTCCAGGTCCTATCCAAATTAGGACTCCAAGCCCCCGCTCCTAAGTCTCGAACAAAATGCGGTGCAAGGACCTCCAATACCCAAAAACCACTCTGATAGTCGGTCTGAAAAGAGCCGGATCCATGACAAGAGAGCAACGAGTCTTCCAGGAGCCCATACCCAAGTATGTGCTCAGGATAATAAGTCTGTGACTTGCCTAGAGCCTTATGTAACAACCGGTCCTTAATCGACACAGACAAGGAAAAACAGTGTAACCAAGTCATGCCCCGTGGCCGCAGGACACAACCTCTTATAACCACCAATACCAAAACCATATCCCTGTCCGGTCACCATTTATCATTTCCACCATTTATATATTTCAAGTGATCATAATATAGTAATATATTTCCTATCTCTCGCGAGTGACAGGCAATCACTCGACTTCTACCGGAGTTATGTAGCATAGCAATCTACACGATCCTGTCATACTAGTAAGACTCATAGGATAAAGATATATATATGCAAGTGGGTTTCATTCAACTTTTTAAAACTTAATGCATAAATATAATTTAAAGTGCAGAAAAGTAGGGGTTATGCACCGGGGCTTGTTTGGGTAAGATTTAATCAAAAGTTAGCTTTCCATCACGGCGACACGATCTCTAAAGGCACCATTTGTCCAGCAACTCCCGATGACTCCACGATCCATCGACGTCCCTATTATGATATGCAATCCGATGCAGTGCAAAGACGTAATTAATCAACTACAATCGTGATTCGTAAAATACGATTTACACCTCTCAAGTTAACGAGCTAGTTCTAACGACGACCATACTTAGGCTACATATACACATTGTCGGATAAGGCGTTATTTCCCAACAAATATTTTAGTTATAAAGTTCCAAGGTGTTTCTTTATTTTGTTCTATCGATTTAATCATTATTCGAAATAGGGCATCATTATTTATCTAGCAAACTAATTATTCTAGAGCTACAAAAATTACAGTGAGCAGCTAATAATATTAGTAATTTACTATAAAATTTTTAGAGTTAATACTATCACCGATTTATCACGAAAATTCCTACAAGTTCATATTTTAACAATTCAAAATTTTTAAAATAATTAGAGCAACTCTGGAAATATTTAAAAACTAGATGAACCAATTACGCTAATAAATATATCATAATTTTAGAAGCCTAACAAAACTAGTTTGACATATTTATGATTTTTCTATGATTTACTACGAATTTTACAAGTTTACATTAAAAGCTAACTTAGAAACTGCTCTACAAATCGAAACGGGCCGGCGTCAACAACCTCGGCCCAACGACACGCGCGGCAGTCCCAGGGCGTAGGCGGCGGATGGCCCATAGGCGCGTAGGTAGCCGCAGCCCAGGTGGACGGCGCGCGGCGGCCCCGACGGCAGGCAGTGCAGCCCGCAAGAGCAGACCGGCCAGAGGCCCAGGCGGGGCGCGCAGCCCAGGCGCGGGCAGGCGGCGTGGACCGGCCCAAGCGGGCGCGGCAGGCCGGCCCAACTAGGGAAGCCCAAGGCGCCGTGACCATTTTGCAAAAGCATCCTCAATATTCTACTTATTTGGTATGCTACTATTCATATGAGTCACTCACTTAGCATTAAGAACCCTGGAAAGATTATATTCTCACCATCTCTCCCTTTCTTTCATCCTCAAGAGCAGAGGAGGCAAGGGACGGGTGCGGCCGGCCAAATCCTGGCCACCAGCGACCTGCCAGTGGGGGAAGACGGTGTGGGGCAGCGGTCGGGTGCTGCGGCATGGGCGCTGAGGAGCAGCGGGTCCAGCGCGGGAACGCGGCTCGGGCGCACGGGAGGCAATGCACCGACCGAAGGTGTGGCTCGCCGATGGGACACTACGGCTGCGGTGACGCGCCACGGCAACGCGGTGGGCTGCGGTCCAGATTGGGGAGGACGTGTAGGGGCTGCAGCACTAATGCAGAAGAGGAAGCGAAGAGCTGTGCATGGCTCGAGCACGCGGGAGGGCAGCGTTGAGGGCTTGCGCGCGCGCGGTGCACCAAGGGCAGCGGCGGGGGCGCCGGTGCGTGGGCACGGGAGGAGCAGCGCAGCGGCAAGTGAGCGGGCTAGAGTCGCGCGCTCGCGGGGGAGGAAGAGGAGGGGCAACGTTGCAGACACGGGTGTGCTACGCGAGGAAGAAAAAGGAAGGGCAGCACTGCAGAGCGGGAGCAGCAGCAGCGACACGGAGGTGACCTAGCCTAACCTTGTCTTGGTGAGTCCTCACTTGGAGTTTTTGCTCGCTAGCCATGGCAGACAGTAGTGAAAGGCAAGGACGGACAGAGACTGCTGTAGGTTGAAGCGACGAAACTTGGCAGTGAGGGAGGGAAAGCAAGCAAAGCAGTACACGGCAACATTATCCAGCAGAGAAAGGACAAGCAGAGACAGACAACAGCTCGGCCTTGACGTGCACAAGGAGCATAGGGAGAGAAGACAGGGGCGCAGGCAAACAGACACGCCGGGGTGCAGAGCCACGTTGGAAGACGAGACAGTGCATAATTGCAAAGCAAGGCGAGTACACTGAAGCCGCGCCAGGAAAAGTAAATGAAGACGGCTAAGCGCTGCGCTATCTCATGTCTGTAACGTGTTTCACACCAACCACGTAAATTTGTGAAGCGGCCAGACGGGCAGCTGTCGTGGGTACGTTACCAACTTATCATAGGGACTAAAACGAGTCTATACTTAAACATGTCACTAGACCAAGGCTATGAATATATATCGTTCTATTTATTAATAGATTTTATTTTATTTATAAAAGTTGCTTTTTCGTGCTTAATCTAATAGAACAACCGTTCGCTGTCTATTGGCTAGAATTGTCGTTCGACATTCCTAAATATCTTTACGCACTAAGTAATTTAACTTGGGTGTTTATTCGAGTCCACAAAACTGAGTCACACATGATTCGCTTATCGCGAAGGGGTTCGATCTTCCTCACCAATTGATTATATGGCTTTTCCTCATGTTGTTGCAGGATTAAGTCCAGACTCGCCAATTTCTCCTGCACCACAAACCCATGACAATGCCAACACTCAGGTATGGAGTGATAACAGTGATGAAGAAAAAAGAAAGGAGGGTGCAGGAATTGGACAGGCATGGAAGAGAGGATCCAAAACTAGTTAGTGCAGGCTGCAAAATTCAGTTGATTCAGACAAGGGGAATGCACAAAAGGGCCATGACTTTTGGAAGAAAATTGTAGCAAAATTCAATAGCAATGTCACACCAGATCAAGGGTGTCAGTTTCACAGTTCAAGACACCACACCAAGACAAACAAGTTGATGGTGCACTTCAATGGGAGTTGGATCAGAACGAAGAGAAGTAACATGTTTCACTGGAAAAAAGTTCTGTCAAAGGAATAGTAGCCATGATATAATCATATACATAGTGGAATGCATGTACGGATATTACAATAACTGACATCGATTAATATAATAAGTGTTGATACACTGATAAAACATCTCATTGTAACACAGCACATTAAGCAACAAGTAGGTGAGACTTTTACTAACCAGACAGGCTCATTGAATTGAACCTATAGATGAAAGGAAACCAAATCCACCAGTAAAGGATGGGATGGGGCATTGTCTCCTGACAGTCATCAAAGCAGAGCAGCGAAGAAGTCTATCTGACCGGTAGCAATGGCTTATCACCACTGCAGGGAGAACAATCCTGTTGCCAGTCTTTATATCTGGTTGCTGCAGAACAATGTCGATGACCAATAGAGCAAATAAAATGGTGCCATACTAAATGGTGAAATGGACTGTAAAGGTGCAGAGGTGCATCTTTTTTTTTTGGAATGGTCTGGTACTGAAAACGATGTTTCCAAAAGTGAATGACACAAACAAAAGATCGAGGATGCATTAAGACAGGATAAGTTTAGCTTGCAAAGCCATTAACCGAATGTGATGCAACTAATTCTGACGCAAGGTAAACTACACTGGGCATGCGATTCCTGTAGACAAAGTCAGAAAACACAATTGCATAAACGTTCCAATGTTCCATTTACCTTTAATAATCTACTAGGGTCATCAACAGCCTGGTACTTCTCACTTCTACTTGGAGTTATCAGTACACACAAAGTTATAACCTGAAAGAGATAAGGGGAAAGAAAAGAACATTTAACCAGGAGAGAAAATTTTGTACTGATTAATTAAATAAATTTGGACATGGGAAGCATTTCATAAATACAGAAAATTGCCTCTAATAATAAGAGCCACACTTGGACCTATGACTAAAAAAATTAATAAGTTGCGGTGGCAGATCTCAGGCACAAAAGAATCATGACATTTCATAGATAACTTACGACCTGAGAATTGAATTCTTATTTTCTCCAGTTGAAACAACCCTGAGTTGACTTCCCGGTACAGGTGACCTTGACAAGCTCGTCGGGGACTCCTAACGTGACGAGAACTCGGCAGAGGGTCTGTGCAAAACCCCCGAGCTCACGTAGGTCGAAGGTAAGCTTGGCGTGGTCCAGAGGTAGCGGTCCTAGAGACGGCCATTCGTCGTTCGTTGGCATCTGCATGTTTCAAGGATCAGGTGTTAGCAGGTCAATAAATAGATAAGCCTTGCATAGAAAGTAAATGCAGGGTCGGTATATAACCGAAAGAAGGGTTGTTCACGTCATATTCTATCGTCTATTTCTAAGGGTTTCGTCCTATGGTCAAGCATGGCTCTGATACCAACTAAAACAACCCCGATTTCCACAAAGGGAGATCCACAGAGTCGAAGTGTAATAAGACCGTTGAAGATCATATTACCCGAATTCCAGTCGAATATCACAACCATACAACGTAATATCAGAGTATATATAGTGCGGAATTACATAAATTATTACATCGCCGCATTGGCGGAATCAAAAGTAGCATTCATTCAGAACAGCTTGAAGATAGATCGTCAAACTTGAGCGTAGGAACGAACCCCTCAACCGTCAAACTCCCCGGAGCTATACTCCTCAGCAGAACCTGTGTGCCAAAATTTATCAGTACGATTTATACTGGCCACTCCCAACCCTATGAGCATTGCTTTGTGGAAATTGGATGCACGTTGGATATACTCAAAAAGGAACCTATAAGGCTGGGGTTTCCTATGTATTAGCATATCAAGTACATTATACCAGTTGGTCAAGTTTTAACACCATTCACACACATTCCACCTCATTCCCATTCCAGAGCTAGGTTTTGATCCTGGGATCGATACACCACCATCTCCACACCATCTCCATACCACACCCATACCATCGCTCAGTCGACAGGCCAACTCCCTCTCGACACTGTCTCATGGCCCGTAGCCCCTGGCTACGTCCGAACACTCACTCCCAGGGGGAGAAGAGAAGGACTCATCTCACTATCTAGTTTAAGCGAACCCAAGGAAAGGTCCATTGCCGACGAGTCAGCATATGTATCGATCGATCAACCATACACTCTGCAGAGGTTTTACATAACCACAAGATCCGCCTTCCTCGCTGACCATCGTCAACTGGGCTGATTCTGGCCGCTTGCTAGCCTAGGATAATGCCACTCTACCATTTAGCCCTGGTACACCCTAAGTCCAGTCTGGGGTGGCTGAAACTGTGAGTCATGAGCCGGGTCCACAAGGTCTCCATGAAGTCTCGGAAGGGTGTGGGGGGGAAATCCTCCGCACCCCGTACCTCCCTCACAATGTCCGCTATCAACCTAGCAGTAGTGGCAATATCCTACCCAGTAGTCCGGCCGTCCTGCACCATATAGGGCAAGTGGTACGTAAGGCTTCCCGGTGAATCTGAGTACTAGTAAGTCCTTAGGGATGACCAAGCCAGAATGTCTCCATCAGGGTTTCCATTTACCGTGCCACCACAGCACCTCCACCCTGGGCTCCTCCCATCACAGGTTCACACCCAGGGCCACCTTATATACCATTTACCCACCACAGGTATCCATTCCAGGGGTGCCCAGGTAGCACCCCACGGCAAGACTTGCCCCAGGCTCGTCATTTACTCCAACTTGGTCGACACAACCCTCACCCTCCACGCACCCAAGTCACACACGCAGCACTCTCCCCAATCATCAGTTTCCTCCACACATCAATGTAGTGCAAGCATAGTAGAAGTATTAAGTAATGAAATAGCAAGCGTGTGACTAGCCTAACAGCAGGGTGAGCAGGGGTAAGGTTGCGTCAAGGTAAAGACCATCAAGAAAGCATTCTACCATACAAGTCCTATCATAGTGTGATTGCAATAAGGTAAAGCACTAGCATTTCTATTTTAGCCATGCGTAATAGGTGCTACGAGGTTGGGTGGGATGTGGCACCTTCAGTGTAGTCGTCTCTGTACTCCTCACGGTACTCACGATCCTCGTCCGTCCGGTTCTCCTCCGAGTCTGCAAACGATCGTATTATAGTCGCGTTAGCGACGTCTATAGAATAGCACAAAGAAGCAATAAAAATTCAAAAGAGCCAAATGCACTCAAACATGGGTTCATTGCGTAGAGCTTGATTTAAGATGAATTTTGGTCCTGGTTTCATATTTTTCCGAGGTCGTATGAATTAGTTATGAATTTCCGAAGATTAAATCTATTTCTGAAAATGGAAAAAGGCTGAATTAATCCTGGGCTGACACGTGTCACGCTGTGGTTGGTCCACATGGCTTGCTGACGTCAGCATCACGGTTTCGAGCTGACAGGTGGGGTCCAGCTGACGTCAGCATGACGTCATCAACGTCATCCACACCGACAGGTGGGGCCAAAGGCTATTGGGTCACTGACAGGTGGGTCC